AGTTCAAATAAGTTCAAAAAAATGAAATACCTTTGTAATAGATGAGTTTTCGTCCAAAATCTTGATACTTGGAAAGAGATTGTCCGTTTTGTATGCAAAGTGCATCCAGTTTTTGCCGTAACCCTCTCAACTTTTTAGAAAATGCTATGTGGGTGAAATGATGATACCATGCCAACTTTCAACCTTTTCAGAGTTCACTTGTAGTGCTTTTCAATTTCAGGGTCATTTAGCTTAAAAAATCAGTAAATGCATGAAAAATACCAAATGAAGTCAGGAAGGGTTGAAAAATGATGATGTGGCTTTGAATGGTTCATTTTTAACACACTAAAAGTCTGGAGTTCAAATAAGTTCAAAAAAATGAAATACATTTGTAACAGATGTGTTTTCGTCCGAAAAGCTGATACTTAAAAAGAGATTGTCCGTTTTGTACATGAAGTGCATCCATCTTTTGTCGTAACCCTCTCGACTTTTTAGCACATGCTACGTGGGTGAAATGATGAAACCATTCCAACTTTCAACCATTTCAGAGTTCATTTTAAGTGATTTTTTGTTTCAAGGTCATTTAGCTCAAAGAATGAACTAATAGAAAAAAGAATGAAGTAGAAAACTTTTATGAAACTCTAATAGCAAAAATAATGAACTAAAAATAATTAATTGAAATATTCTGTTATGATCAACTAAAACCCTATAATATTGTTCAATAGCAAAAAGAATCAACTAAAAAGCTTTTATAAAACTCTAATATCAAAAGGAATCAACTAAAAGGATTTTATAAACCTCTAGTATTTTTGAAACTAACCTTTTATTAAATTTATGCAACTAAAATTATCAAAGTATTTTTTGTTCAAAATATTAATAGCAAAAGAATTTTCGTAAAGAACTTTTTTGTTAGAAACTTTAATAGCAAAATAAAATAACAAAATTTGATTTTGATTAAAATAGACATTAAAAATAACCTAAAAATTACCAAATTGAATATAATGATAAAACACAGTAATATTAAATAGCAGGAAAAAGAATCACTCAGAAATCTATTTTCGTAGTAAAGTTATTCGCAAACTAGTGATTCACAGAAATTTAAAAAAAAATCAAATTTAAACTATTCAAATTTGAAAACCAATGGAACTAACAGAAAGTTTATAATTTTTGTGGCCGAAAAGCAAAAAGAATCACTAAAAAACTATAAGCATTTAGTAAGTACAAACAAAAGAAAATAAATAAAGCATCAAAGAAAACAAAAATATTAAAAATATTTAAAAAAACGCCGCCTACTGGGCCACCACGGCCTGAATATGATTAGAACCCATCGGGCCAGGATTCAAGCCCGCAGCAGGCCTAGTAGGCCGACAGGCAGAGGAGTGTGACATTAGTCCCGTAAGCCTGCAGTTGAAAGGAGCTCGAGAGGGTCAGCGCAACAACACTTATAAACAACTCTCGAGCCCTCTCAGCTAGCGAGGTGGGACTAAACTTTTCACCCCGGGTAGCACCAACCTTTAGTCCCGGTTGGTGGCATTAGCCGGGACCAATACCCACCTTTGGTTCCGGTTGGTGGAACCAACCGGGACCAATGCTACTCTTTGGTCCCGGTTCGTGCCACCAACCGGGACCAAAGGTCTCTGCTTCCCGCCCTTTGGGCTGATAAAAATAGACCTTTGGTCCCAGTTGGTGGAACGAGCCGGGACTAAAGGTGGGTATTGGTTCCGGTTCGTGCCACAAACCGGGACTAAAGATGTGGCTATATAAGAGCATCTCCAATAGATGGTCCAAATTTTGACGGTCTAAAATCAGAGATGTAAAATTTGAACCGCCAAAAAGTGCGTTTTGGAGTTCCAAAAAAGGCCAACTCTAACAGATGGTCCATATTCTAGAAGGCCAACTAAAAGGACAACTCCAACATATATAGAAAGCACCTAGACCTTGGAATCAAAACAAGGATCCGAGAGGTGCTTCCTGAAGTCTCGGCAGATTATGCTTGATGAGTACCTGAGCCGCAATCCCACTTGGCTTGTCAAACATATGCACCTTGAATTCCTTTGATATGACGATCATTATAACACAATAATGGGAAAGCACTTCAGAAAATGTAGTAGCAGTTTTGGTGCTCTCACTCAGTGAGAGCCGAGTGGCTTTTTGTATTTTATAAGCCCAATGCTACCAAAAAATGCAAGAGCTGCAAGTGCTGGAGCTTAGCAATGCACAGTCATGATGCTGCCACTATACCTTGAAAGAGAAACTTCAACTTTTCTATAGTGTGCCAACATTTAGGGTAAACCAAACCATAATGAAGGCTATACTGAGATAAAATATGTGGATTTTATTGGAAATATGTTGTGTAAATAGCTATTGTTTTTATTGTTAGGATGGGCAAGCCCGCCATCAAAAGAAACACATCACCACACTAACAATATTTTTGACACTATAGATCCTAGTATAGTAGTGGCTGCTGGATGGCACAGATCATTCCATTATTCAGTGCATACTGAATTAATCATCTTGGTCACATTTCCAGTAGCATTTAGAAGTCCCTCCTGGCTGCATTTGAAAAAGGTCAAATCTTTCATGATATGCTTAAGGCAATATTTAAATTGGAAGGTTATGCTGGAATCAAATCAAATCACATACATGTTGGACCAAGGTAGCACCCAAGATGCCACTACAGGACGATGCGTAGAACATACAGATGTTCAGACAATTTTAATTTTATGTGTAACCAATTGAAGATCCAAGTCAGATCACTGGCATTTACTTGGTTACATATGCCAATCTCTCCCCAAATGGTGTGAACACAAAGAGAGAACGCATCCTTGCTATGAAGCATTTGAAAATAGCAAATTGAGGATATAGAAAGCACTGTCTTGCTCCTACTACTAAACGTGACATGGTATGCATAAGAAGAAACGGATGCTTGTGCTATGGAAGATTCAGAAGTACCACTAAATATATAGAAAAAATAAAACATGAAAGGGCAAGTCGTACTGCACAACTCTATTGTATACTGGAACTTAATTTATATTTGTCATTACTGTGGTTTTGGGAGAGGTAGTGATGCGTGATGGCAAAGGGCCTGAAGCACAGGGGCACGTTGATCTTGGCCTTGAAGATGATGACGTGACTGCATTTTCTCATGGTGTAATAATATGTCTTACAACACAATGAAGTTTCTCATAAAAATATACACGATGAAGTGCAAGCAGGCTCTGACCATGATTCTGGCAGCATCGGAGGAGGACCATCAAAACTTTGAGGCACACCGCACACGGGGCCATCATCAACGCCTGGACGGCCATGACCTTGCATGCCGACTGGGAGCTGATCCCTCTCCCTCTCCATCTACCCCTTCCTGGCCTCCATTATCATGGCGTCCAAAAGCATCCCAATTTACACCAATTCAGAGCAACTGAACAATTAAGAGCAAGAAGCGTCAAGTGGTCAAGACCAACACCACCTGAACACGACCGAAATACTTCCGGAAGAAGAGAAAATTGGGGGCAAAAAATCGTAGGTGGGTTTGGATTTCGGCGCACCGTTAGAGAAGACTCGTCCACCCCCGTGAGTAAGTCGATATGCACGAAGCAGAGTGCCCGCGTCTTCTTGGCCGGAGGAACCATGCTGGTCAGCATCTCCTCCTTCCCCTCCTAGAGTCCTCGATCATCCTTCTCTGCCACCTCCCCCATCTGCACAAATCCTAACCTATACGAATCAAGAGGAGGCACCTATTTGTTCACAAATCCGTGACGAAGCACCAATCATACCTCTAGCGCGACATGAACGGATATGGACCAAGATCTTGCTGACCACATGGGGAATTAACTGGTTCGAGGGTGGCTCAACTCCCTTCAACAACTCGCCCCAACCGTTCTCACCTTTTAGATAGCCTCTCCATACCTCTCTTGCAGTGATGACAGCGGCGGTCAGTTTGGGAGATGAGGGGTAGGGACGTAGGGTTCAGGGAGGAGATGGGAGGGGAGAGGACGGGTGCATATCTGTACCGTTCTTTGGGGATCGGGTGTTAACTCGCACCAGCAAAAGAGGGGCCTCCGATTTTGTGCCAGGAATAGCGGCCCACACCACCAGAGCAAGAAGTACATCGGACGTCCAAGAATGATCGGGATGAGCAATTTGACGGCCAAAATCAGTGATGGCCTGAGAGAGCTTCTAGAGTGCACATTTATAATGTTTCTACTAAATAACCAGCCAAACCACGCCGCTAGCTCCAACTCTTTTGCTTTGGCAATTAAATGAGCGGGAGGCGCACCGCACCTGCAGAAAGGGATCTACAGAGACAATTAATTACGTGCGCTCTGACTTATCAAGGATCTACTGGAGTACTCCCTCTGTTCGGAATTATTTGTCGTAGAAATAGATGTATCTAGACATTTTTTAGTTCTAGATACATCCATTTTTACGACAAGTAATTCGGAAGGAAGGGAGTAGATGATAAAGGGCATGTACTTATGCTGCATGCATGCATATCCATGTGCATGCCGCGTGGAACAACCTACATAACGTACGTACGAGAATGACGCGATCGAGCACCAGCCAATGCAAAGTGGATCACCAACCGAATAGCAGATGACGACGACGTTGATCAAATCGTTGATCGATGCGTGCAGTGGACTCTGGAATCAACCGAGTTTTAATTCGCCATCTGAAATTTCGGCGCGCCAAACGCAAATTGGTCTGTCTCTAATTGCGTTGATCATCGATGACCGATCAATGCGGATGCCTATATAAGCCAGCCATGCGTGGCCTGTTCCATCCATCGATCCATCCATCCATCCAGGGACGTAGCTGCTTTGTATGCATTGGGGTCAATTGACACCAATGAAATTAGTAAAGCCTTCACTAATATAGTACTAATCACTATTTATTTAAAGAAGATGACCCCACTGTCATAGACATGACCCCATCAAACTTTTTTTCTAGCTTCGTCCCTGCATCCATCCATCGCTATTTACTTCCCACAGGCAAGTAGTGGAGTTCGATTCAGGGGTTCAGCCATGGCAGCTCCGAGAGCACTCGTCCTCGGCGTCCTGCTGCTGATCGCCGTCTCCGACACCGAGGCGGCGTCCGTCGTCGTCGGCATGGCCAAGTGCGCCGACTGCACCAGGAAGAACATGAAGGCCGAGGAAGCCTTCAAGGGTAAGCGCTGATGTGCTACTCCATTGTGTGGCATTGCTGGGTTGACGCTTATCACCATTGTTCTGCCATGAACGTACCCCAGGTCTTCAGGTGGCGATCAAGTGCAAGAGCGTCCACGGCGACTACGAGAGCAAGGCGGTGGGTGCCCTCGACCGCACCGGCGCCTTCAGCGTGCCCCTGGCCGCCGACCTCCACGGCGCCGACTGCGTCGCTCAGCTCCACAGCGCTGCCTCCAACACACCGTGCCTCGGCCAGGAGCCATCCAAGATCGCGCCGGTGTCCGAGGGCACCACCTTCGGCGTCGTCGCGGGGGCCAATACCAACGCGTTGGCATCGCCGGAGTGCGCGTCGGCGACCCTGCTCGGGCCGATCAAGAAGCACATCATGGAGCACTTCCACCACAAGAAGCCCGTGCCGCCCAAACCGGAGCCCAAGCCCTAGCCTCACCCTGACTACGGCCCCGTGCCCAAGCCCGAGCCAAAGCCGCAGCCCCACCCGGACTACCACCCCGTCCCTCCCACGCCCACCTACGGTGGCGGCGGCGGCGGTGGATACCACGGACACCACTGAGTCCGGTCTACCACCGCCGTCCTGCCCAACGATGAAATCTCATGAGCGGGTTGGTGATCAGTAAGTGGTTGACGTTGCTATTTATGATCCGTTCGCATGCGTGGGTGTATTGTTTGGTGTTCTGCCATTCGCTGCCTCGTTTTAGTATCTGCACTGAAGAGTTGAGAGTTCAGAATAACAGTTATGAGGAACACATGGATCAGTTTGTATTTTGCTTTATTAAGATTTGAAATTTTGGTGTGTGTTTTGTATAAGAAGTTATTGTGGATCAAGTAATTTAATCATGTCCATTTGAGCCAATGGAATTACTGCAGATGTTGCCTTTTTTTGCTTGATCTTGTTCTACTGTGTGCTGCGTGCGTTTAGTCCATTCGCTGCGGCTTGCTTTTACCTTTATTTTCTTTTAAGTTTTTGGTTCACGCAATAACTGTGTGGCAGGTTTTTTAATGGAAAAATGGCAAAAGTGCTACTTCGACCGGCTCTTTACGGGGTTTCAACGGGCTCTCCCAACAAACTAAACTTGCCCCTCATCTGATTTTCAGGAAGGTGGGCCCCCTCTCCCCCTTGGTCCAACCCGTAAAACATTCGTAATGGTCCGTTGATGTTGCATCGCTTGAAAAAAGGTTTTGCCATTGTGTAGTCGTGTGAGACCATCATTTACTTTCAGCCGGTTTTCAGATCTGTGGACTCAAACTCAGTGGGTGTTTGGTTTAGAAGTCCTAGGACTTTTTCTAGTCCTAGGGACTAATCAAAAAAGACTTTTCGGTAGAGTCTTTTTTTAGTTCCTGTAGAAAAAGTCCCTCCCGTTTGGTTCCTAGGGACTTTTTAGGGACTTTTTCTAGTCTCTGGGACCAAAAAGTCCCACCCAAACACCCCCTCAAGTGGACTTCAGGCAGGTGTGCAAATGGATCTGTCATGGACAACTCATGACATTCATGTCAAAAACAAAATCGCAGCTACCAAGGATCACGCATTCATACTGCCGCTTCTGCTTTGACTTCTTTCAGCCTAAGCAGGAGGGGAACTGGGCCATGGCCCGGTCCAGCTCAAGTGCATAAGGGGGCATATTTGGCTCGGACCGCTGAAGACTAAACAATCAGTACCACTTAGGCAGGAGAGAACCTGCTTAGTCAAGTACATGGATTTACACAGGTAAAGTTCTAGCAATGCTTTAGAGAAGATAACGAGGTAGTTCATGTAATAGTTTTTTTTGGCGAAAAGGATCCAGATCTACTCCCTCCGTTCCTAAATATAAACCCTTTTAGAGTTTTCAATATGGACTACGTGCAGAGCAAAATGAGTGAATTTACCCTTAAAATATGTCTATATACATCCGTATGTAGTGTATATTGAAATCTCTAAAAATACCTATATTTAGGAACGAAGGGAGTATTATAAAGGTTCACCAGAAGTGCAATTACAAAGCACCACAAACATAATAAAAATTACATCAAGGTCCATTAACCATCGAACGACCACTGACCACCAGAACGATCCGATGACGTGTCGTTGTCGTCGCTCCCATAACGAAGCCGGCTTGGTCTTGTCGATGACAGCTAGGAAGTTTTGGTGCACATGCCCCCAAAGACCAGTGCCCCGGAGTTGCAATCGTCATTGTAGATCCCTTGAATCGACCTGAAGAACCTAACATCAAATATCATCATTGTGTACGCATGCCGATAAATCCTATCCTTGCTGACCCGAGGAGCATACGAGAATCTATGCCGGAGGTTTGTCGATCCGTCCCAATGGACAAACTTGAGGAGAATCGATGCCCGAAAGACCGGCTCGAATATGTAGCATCGCCCCTATGAGGACTTAAACCCCAACCTATCTATTAGCCAGAGCCGAGCCACGAGGTTTGCCCTCCTTGCATCCGGTCGTCTACGAGGTGGAAGAGAGGCGGAGCACTTTTTGTCCTCTAGCAGGCTGATCTGCCAAAGACTCATCCCTCTAGGAAGGTGAATTCGAAGCCATCGTCATCACCAACACTCTGATCATCATTGGGACCAATGCATATTCTGACTTATGAACTATTACATCCGATCCTTTGTTGAGTATAATGTCTGATGTTGACTACTGCTTGCAGTTGATACTTAGAAGTTTTATTGGATTCATATGTTCAGGTTGTTATTCATACTTCCATCTCCACTTATTATGATCCATATGATGTGTTGTGAGTAGCATCCCATTACATTCTTGAGGACATGGGATAAACCGCTTGTTACTATTAATCTTGTGAATTTAAATATAGTTCAATATTTTGATATTAGGTTGTGATGTAATTCTGTAGTGGTGATGTGCGATCATCGACTGCATATCACTTGATCAACATAAGCCTAGAGGAGAGTATTTTTTGATTAGTTTATCTATGGTAGATTGTTGGAGTGACCGAATTACCAAATCCTAAGTTTATGAATTAGTACGAGGGGCTGTTGGAACCCCAAAGTTTATTGTTATGGTTAGATGCTATCTTAATTATTCTCAATGAATCTTGATGAAAGTGAGAACAACACATTACTATAGGTTCCACCGCACAACAAATTATCAAAGCAATGAATGTTAACTCAATAAACAAGATGAAAGTAACTTGATGAAACTACCATGTGTCCTCGAGAGTGATTTGATCCATATAACTAATAGAACTCTTGTTCTTTTTTGCGGGGATATACAACTATCAACTGCAGAACAAAATATGTACGATTGCAACCGGTTTTATTATATTGAAAGATTGAGAAGTTTTGATGTTATCATGCCACCTAGCTCTAGTGCTCAAATGCTTCTAGCTCTGATTGGTTGTAAGATTGCTTTCAAATTAAGCTTCTAAGCAGCCAATCCACGGCGCTAGCTCCAATTCTTGTTGCTTTTGCCATATAAATGCACGGGAGGTGCACCGCACGCAGAAAGGGATCATCAGATAATTAGTTAACAGTACGTACGCTCTGACTACTTTTATGTAGGCTCTAGATGAATGATAAAGGGTACGTACGTACTTACACTGCATGCATCCATGCATGGCCATGTGCGGCTTGCAAAACCTATATGAAGGAGAACGACGTGATCGACCACCGGCCAAAAGTCGATCACCGACCAGTTTAGCAATTTTGATCTCGATCACCAACTGAGTAATGACGAGGTGGAACAAATCGATGATCGATGCGTGCAGAATCAATCGAGTTTTCAATTCGCCATCTGAAATTTCGGCGAATTAGCCGGTCTCTCGTTGTCAGGCATCATTGTGCCGGGCTGCCGGCCACCCTTGGACAGCATGCAGCCAGATCATCCATCGAGCTGTGTCGATCTCAATGCGGAGGCCTATATAAACCACACTGCCACTCAGCCGACCCATCATCCATCCATTAACTCAGACATGGCAGTTTCGAGAGCGCTCGTCCTCGGCGTCCTGCTGGCGATCGCCGTCGCCAATGCCGAGGCAGCGTCCGTCGTGGTCGGCCAGGTCAAGTGCGCCGACTGCACCAGGAAGAACTTGAAGGCCGAGGAAGCCTTCAAGGGTAAGCGCTAGCTAGCTACAGTGTAAATGCATGAATGCATGATGGTGCTCTGCTCACTATTGTTCTGCCATGAATGCACAACAGATCTTCAGGTGGCGATCAAGTGCAAGAACGTCCACCGCGACTACGAGAGCAAGGCAGTGGGTGCCCTGGACCGCACCGGCGCCTTCAGCGTGCCCCTGGCCGCCGACCTCCATGGCGCCAACTGCGTCGCGCAGCTCCACAGCGCTGCCTCCAACGCGCCGTGCTCCGGCCAGGAGCCATCCAAGATCGTGCCGGTGTCCGAGGGCACCACCTTCGGCGTCATGGCCGGCGCCAACACTGCCACGCTGTCCGCGGCGTCGCCTGAGTGCGCGTCCATGACCCTGTGCGGGCTGATCAAGAAGCACATCATCGAGCACTTCCACCACAAGAAGCCCGTGCTGCCCAAGCCGGAGCCCAAGCCCCAGCCCCACCCGGACTACGGCCCCGTGCCCAAACCCGAGCCCAAGCCGCAGCCCCAGCCGGACTACCACCCCGTCCCTCCCACGCCCACCTATGGCGGCGGCGGCGGCGGTGGATACCACGGCCACCACTGAGTCTGGTCTGCCACTGTCCGGCTAAGCACCAAAATCTCATCACCGGTTACATGATGAGTGTCAGTGAGTGATCGACGTTACTATTTATCATCAGTTGCTTGCGTAGCCGCGTGGGTATTCTTTGGTGGTCTTCTGCCATTCGCTACCACGTTTTAGTATCTGCACTGCATAGTCGAGAGTTCAGAATAACATTTGTGAGGAACTTGTGTATAAGAAATTACTGTGAATCAAGTAATGTAATCAAGTCCATTTGAGCCAACGCAAAGTTCCTTCCTAGCTCGGCCTCCACGGCCCCTCTTATCTACACCATTCGTTTTGTGTCGCGATTTGTGCAGGAAAGCACCGTCACAAGCATGCACTTGTTTGATGCAGTGTCATTTGCAGGCATTGTCCCATCCGTTGCAGCCAAACAATAATCAAAAGCAAGGTAGGCCTGTATGCTAGTCTCCTCGTGGCTCAGTCTCAGTGGGTGTTCAAAGCTGGTCAAGAATTCACAGGCTCACATGCAACAGTTGCTCTCATGCAGCAGCTTTGCACTGTACATAACACTGTTTACTCTCGTGAACTTTTACCGATGAACATGCAACACATGCAGGCCGAAATGTGATAGGAGAGAGAAGAGAATGGGTACATGAAGCAATCTTTGTCCAACCGGGAGAAAGACAGGGGTTTGCATGGAGAATGTTTTATCTCCACCCATTCGTCCCATGTGCATTGAGTAATAGTGATTTCTTATTCGAGGAAGTGACTTTTAGAATTTTTATTTGACATCTTTAGAGCATCTCCAGCCACGCCGCCAACAGGCCCTCCCAGACTATTTTTTCGCGCCGGCGCCCAAATATCGGCCCAGTCACGCCCCTGGATCCTGTTTTTCGCCGATTTGGGCCGAAATTGGCGCCGGCGTACCCAGACCAAACCCGGCGCGCTGGGGGGCGCCCAGAGGCACCGGGACGAGCGATTTTGGCGCGAACGCACTGCGGCCCCGCCGAGTAAGCGACACTCGCCTCGTAGTCCTCACAACGTCTCGGTTTCCCGCGGGGAATCAATGCCAAGGCTGCCGCCGGTCAGCCTTCCATTGATTCCTCACGGGCGGCACGGCGATGCCCCCCCCCTCCCGCCATGCGTACACACGGCGCCCAGCTATAAAAACAACGCCTCTCCCTCGCCTCTGGCCACACCCGCCCATACCCGCCGCCGAGCTCTGCCTCTCCCCCCGCCCGCGGCCGCCGAACTCTGCCTCTCTCCCCGTGCCCACCCGCAATGATGACTGAACGGCTCCCCGGCGATGGGGCGGCGGCCAACTGCTTCGGCCGCCGCTCGCTTCACGAGTGGGAGGCGTACTTGCTCTTCGAGGCCAACACCCCGGTGTTGGGGAACGTGGTAATTTCAAAAAAAATCCTACCATCACGCAAGATCTATCTAGGTGATGCATAGCAGCAAGAGAGGAGAGTGTGTCCACATACCCTCGTAGACCGAAAGCGGAAGCGTTATTTAACGCGGTTGATGTAGTTGAACGTCTTTTGGGGCGACCCTGGGGCCGGCGGCTGGGAACCCGAACGGCCCCAAGCCGATTTTTTCGCTGGGTCGCCCCCAGGTGGTGATTTTTCGAGCCCTCTGGGGGGGCAACGGCTGGATATGCTCTTAGAGAGCACACTTAATCGAAAGACAGAAGAAAAAAAGAAAGAGAGTTGCATGTAAAGTTCACGAGAGAAAGATGCGCTGCATGCAAAAAGAGAGAGGGGTCTGCACTACGTCTCAGTCTGACGGGAGATGGACAAAAAGAACGTCACATCAGATACAGTCCCTACTAGTCCTAGCGGCAGGAGATTAAGATTTGAGAGCTGGCGCCAGTTGCTAATTTTCCATCGATGCACACATCCACATGGAACTGAGCACAGAATGGATGGCTACGATAGCAGGTACCACGAAGGATGAGCTACAAAAAACTGCGCTCCCCTTGAGCCAATGGAATTACTGAAGCCGTTCGAGTTGATGGATGATTGGGTATGACGATGACAATGGTTTTGCCATGCATTCTGTAGTTTTTTGTGACCATCATTAGTTTCAGTCGATTTTCAGATATGTGGACTGAAATTCAGGCTAATGTGCAAATGGATTTTGTGATGGACAACTCATGGCATCCACGTCAAAAAGAGAATGCTAGCCACTGGTCCACGCTTGAGAGCGGACTAATTTGGAAAAGTTTTATCTAGGGCACATCTACATCTGCTTTAGTTATTGCATATCTAAGTGATTCAATCAAACTAGAAAGAAATTGTGAGTGGGTACGAGAGCTATGGCCTGGTCCAGCTCAAGTACACACACGGGTATATCTGGCCCAAACAGGTAAAGACCAAACAACCAGTACCACTTGGACAGAAGGGCGCGGCTGCTACCATATGCAGATAGATCAAGACGTCTACATTGGTGCATCGGCCGTCGTTGTGAGGGGAATTAGCGAAGCAGCTAGCAATTCTGGAAGCGCTAGCCTGCCGAGAGGGCCTAACTTTGGCGGAGGATCTTTTTCTTTCAAAAATTGTAGTTGCTCCTGCTTCTCAAACGGTGGTGAAAAATGACATACAACAAGGAGAAATTGGAGTCTATGGTGCAATTAACAGAGAATTCAGGGACCGAAGGATTCAGTTCCATAAATGTTCTTCAGTTTATAAGCGCACAATTTTAACTTTGAGGCCCATACCCTTGCAAAACACACTGTTGGTTTAGATGTTGGTCGTCATGAATGTTAGGAAAACCCTTATGATCCCGCTGTAGTTCATGTAAACCTTGGCTTGAGCAATTAATAAAGTGTGTATTGCCTAAAATTCCAAATGATAACGTCCACACGTGTGGCATATTTGCACATCGCACACACATCTTGATCCATCTTGATTCTGTTTTGCATGGATCCTAATGGAATCTGAGTGCCACGTAGGCATAGTGTGTTGTGTGGGCGTTAGAGCACTCGCCCACCCGACCCGCTGCGCGCAGTTACCAGTTGCGCCATGTGGGCGAACCAGTTCCCGCCCACACAGGCACCAACCAGCCCACGCGCTTGTGGGTGAACTGCTCTTCGCCCACAGAACGCTCGTACGGTGATAGATGACAACTGCAGTTGCACGTATGCGGCAACTAGGTAAACACATATAACAACTAGGATTTGTTGGTAGATGGCAACTGCAGTTGCGCGTACGTGGCAACCAAGTAAACACACACATGGCAACTATGTGTAACCATACATGGCAACTATAGTTGGGCCACACGTGGCAACTACTTTTTTTACCACATGTGGCAAATAGTTAATCACGCAGGGCAACTATGGTTTGATTGCACGCGGCAACTACGATAAATTTGACATGGCAACTATATTTATCCAAAACAAAGAGAGTTG